AATGAGGGGGTATTTATAGTTGAGAATTGGGGAAAAGTGTAATTATATAAAGTTTGGGGTTAAAATAAAGTTTGGGGGCCAAATGGCTATTTTTTAAAATTCCAAACGGTTGAAAATTAAAGGCCAACGGCTAGATTTTAAAATCTGACCGTTGGCTATTTTTTAAAAAAAAAATTTTTTTTTTAAAAATTAGCCGTTGGAGCCCGTTAGGACCGCTAGGCCCGGTTGAACCGGCCCAGGACCGCCTGCCGGTCCCGGGCTTAGCGGTCCCGGTCTCGTGGGCTACACGAGCAAGACCGGCCCGTCACGGGCTTCTTACCCATTAAGGGACCGGCCCACCAGGACCGTTTAGCCCGTTAGGACCACGGGCCCGGTCCGGTCCCGGTCCCAGACCGGCCCACCAACAGCCTTAAATAGCCTCTTGGAGAAATGTAGGGTAAGGTTGCGCACAATAGACCCTTGTGGTCCGGCCCTTCCCCGGACCTCGCGCATACCGGGAGCTTAGTGCACCGGGCTGCCCTACATTAATTAGGTCAAATAAATGCCTATCATGTCCTGTACAATGTGCAAAACAAATACAAAATGCTTTATAGCGGGAGCCTAGTGCACCAAACTTCTCTTTATGTCTATGTAACATTTATTATAAAATTTAAAAGTTCCTCCCAAAAGATGTTTCAAAGTTATATTTTCTAGCTATACCTTCTCTGTTGATGACTTTGCAAAATTGTTGGAGGCTTAAGAACAAGCAAATGCCAGTTTTGAATCCGCTTACTGAAATCTGTTGCAGAAAATTTAATAAAGTGATCGACTCCATTCCTTTTGTTACTTATAAATTATGTAAGAGTATAAGGTGAAATTATATTTTTATTTTAGTAAATAGTACATATAACATAATGATGATTATAGTTTTAAGTCCAACTAGTCACGTCGAGGTGGACAAAAAAGAGAAAACAAGTAGAAAAAAATCAAAGTCTGCCAAAAAAAAAGGTACTGCATTGTCAAACGTTTATGTATTACTGCATGATTTATTATGATATCAATATTTCTAAGTTTTGATAAGACAATAAGAAAATATTACCATACACAAAAATTAAATCAAGATGTTTAAATATTAATATCCATTAGTTTTAGACGGTAAAGAATAAAAACATAATTTGTGATTTTCCCTGTGAATAGGTTGAAAGATGGTCATCAACAATTCTTTCTCCTAAAATATTGTCTATCAAATTTTTCACAACCCTCCAAATATTGTGAGGCTAATTCAAAAAAACATCAACTAACTCTCAACCTTGAACCATCCTCCTTCTACCTCCATATAACACCATCCATTTTCCTTCCCAACATGATTCCTATAAGCAGCCTTGGGTCTGACTTAGGGGATCTTAAACAAAAATGGCTAATCCTCCAAACATAAAGGCCTTAGGTTGCTTTCTTCTCCTCAATCTTGTATCTTTTTCATCCTTTTCTTATGCATTAACTGATAATGAAGCCGCTCTCATCGCTCGTCGTCAGCTCACGGCTGGCACGGATGATCTTCCAAATCTAGTTGAATATGAAAAGAACATTAAGTTGAAATTTGCAAATGCTAGGCTAAAGAAAGCTTACATTGCTCTTCAAGCTTGGAAAAAAGCTATTTACTCTGATCCATCAAATTTTACTAGTAATTGGGAAGGTCCTGATGTTTGTGCATATAATGGTGTCTTTTGTGACAATGCATTAGATGATCCCAACATTTCTGTTGTTGCTGGTATTGATCTTAATCATGCAGACATCGCGGGGCATCTCCCTGTTGAGCTCGGGTTCCTAGCTGATGTTAGTCTTATTCACATTAATTCTAACCGATTCTGTGGAATCGTCCCTAAGAGCATTACGAATCTTAAACTTTTAGATGAGATTGATTTCAGTAACAACCGTTTCGTGGGGCCATTCCCTAAGGTTGTGCTGGAGTTGCCAAATCTTAAATACCTTGATCTTAGGTACAATGATTTTGAAGGATCAGTGCCTTCTGAATTATTTGATATGAATCTTGATGCTATTTTCCTAAACAATAATCGTTTCCATTCCACCATTCCTCCAAATATTGGCAACTCCAATGCCTCAGTGGTGGTTTTGGCTAACAATAAATTCCATGGTTGCATCCCTCATAGTATTGGCAAAATGGAAAACACATTAGATGAGCTTGTTTTCACCAACAACAATCTCTCTGGTTGTGTTACAGATGAAATCACTAAGCTCAAGAGCTTAACGATTTTCGACATCAGCAGAAATAAGTTTGTTGGATCTTTGCCTCAGGGTTTGAAATCCATGCAGAAAGTTCAAGTTCTTGATATTGCATCAAACATGTTTATTGGAGAAGTTCCAGAGGCTATTTGCACCTTACCAAATTTGGCCAATTTCACATTCTCTAACAATTATTTTGATGTCTTGGATAAAACTTGTGCACCACCACTTAAGAAAAATCTTGTGGTAGAAGATAAGGAAAATTGTTTAGGAGGAAGACCAGACCAAAGAAAAGAGAAAGATTGTCAATTTGTTTTGAGCAACCCTGTGGATTGCAGTAAAGATAAATGTAGAGCTAATAAAGAAGGACCAGCACCAAAGGATCCAAATCCTCCAATGCCACCCAAAAGAACCCCTTCCACCCCAAAACCACCTAAGTCTAATCCACCCAAGATTTCACCTTTGCCACCACCCGTGGCATCGCCGCCTCCGCCAGTGCCAAGTCCAAAGCCAAAACCACCTCCGGTTCACTCTCCACCACCACCAGTGGCATCACCTCCACCTCCAGTGCCAAGTCCAAAACCAAAGCCACCTCCGGTTCACTCTCCACCACCACCAGTGGCATCACCTCCCCCACCAGTGCCAAGTCCAAAACCAAAGCCACCACCAGTTAATTCCCCACCACCACCAGTGGCATCAACTCCACCACCCGTGCCAAGTCCAAAACCACAGCCACCTCCAGTCAACTCTCCACCACCACCAGTGGCATCACCTCCCCCACCAGTGCCAAGTCCAAAACCAAAGCCACCACCAGTGGCATCACCTCCACCACCCGTGCCAAGTCCAAAACCACAGCCACCTCCTGTCAACTCTCCACCACCACCAGTGGCATCACCTCCACCTCCGGTGCCAAGTCCAAAACCACAACTGCCTCCAGTCCACTCTCCTCCACCACCAGTGGTATCACCTCCACCACCAGTGCCAAGTCCAAAACCACAACCACCTCCAGTCCACTCTCCTCCACCACCGGTGGCATCACCTCCTCCTCCAGTTCACTCCCCACCTCCACCAGTCCACTCTCCTCCACCACCCTTGGCATCACCTCCACCTCCAGTCCACTCTCCTCCACCACCAGTGGCATCACCTCCACCTCCAGTTCACTCCCCACCGCCACCAGTTCATTCACCACCTCCTCCAGTTCACTCACCACCACCACCAGTTCTGTCACCACCTCCTCCAGTTCACTCTCCACCGCCACCAGTTCACTCACCACCACCTCCAGTCTTTTCTCCTCCTCCACCAGTCCACTCCCCACCTCCACCTAAACCTATTCAATCACCACCTCCTGCTCCATTGGCATCTCCCCCTCCACCTGTTTTCGAGGATGTTATCCTTCCTCCAAACTTGGGATCAATTTACGCGTCACCACCACCACCAATTTTCCCAGGTTACTAGAGGGGATGCATTACTAACATCTCTCTTATTCATCTTGACAAACATTGTTAGTTCAAAGAAATATGTATACATCGACATTTAAATATACACAATCAAAGAAATTTTATTTTTCTTAGTCCATCTTCTTTTTATTAATTAAATCTTTATCTTTGCACTTCGCTATATTTGGATTTGATCTTCGAACGTGCTAATTGAACAAAATATGTTCAATCAACCGTTTTATACTAAGTTTTGAACATGTTCTATTCTTTCTTGTTCTACTCTATTAGCTAACGCGTTTTTAAGAATAAATAAGCTTACAAATCTTTAGCAGAAGTTAGGGGTGTTAAATGAGCGGGTTGGGTCGGATATGAGCCGGTCGAAAATTAAATGGATAATGCAAAAACGGATAAAATATTCGACCAAATCCATATTTAATATGGATAGAAATGGGTTAACCGGCGGATAATATGACTTCTTGAATATGAAATTTGGTGAGAATTTCTAGTCTCCCAAACTTGAGGAACCTCCAATTTGTCTTTACAAATATAAAAATTAAATCCATTGACTATCCGTTTTTAAAAGTTCATTATATATATAAAATCCAATTTTTAATGGATTATATGAATGAATTACCGTCTTTTTAATCCATTTTTCCACCGCCAACGGAAGTTAATGACCTTTTTATCGTTTATTTAGAGAGTACATTATAAAATAGCGCACAAGTTTCTCTATTTATCACAACATAAACCAACTTAAGTTTTAGTCTTTAACTTAAATTAAACCACAAGTTTCTCTTTTAAGTTTTCAGCTTTTAGTTTTTAACTTATTTTTCTATACTATTTGTTTGTCGTTGTTATTGTTGTTAAGAGTATTTATTGTTGTTGTAGTACTACTTCAAATTAATAAAAATATTACACGTAATTTTAGGAATTCTTGGCTTCATTAAACAATCTTGAGTGACTTTTGAAATGCGATAAATTCATAAAATAATCCGGCAAATATATGATCAGTCATAAAAAAGGATAAAGGCTAGCCCAATCAACTCTATTGTATCGTATTGTTACTTTAAATACAATGTTTATTTTGATCGTTACTTAAATTTTATTGTATTGGATCATTAAATTCATCATTATGTAACAATGAAAAGTTTCACTTTATGAAACGACCGATTTGGTGTGGTCGCGTCGTTACCTTATTTTTTTCCTCTCATATTGCCCTTCCTTATTATTAAATAATCACATTTTATCATTTACCTTACCTTTTTATATAATAATTCTACATTGCACCTTACTTTTTCTTTATAATAATGCAAGTTTATTTTGTTGGTGCATGACATCATAAAATAACGGTAAACAATATAATCTTACAATACTATATGATACATTATAAAATGATACATAATAACCATCCAAACAAGTTGAATACATTGTAATTATTCCTTGCAACAGAGAAAGCCATTCACTTGACTTCCTTCATTATTTATACAAAGCATGAAACAAAACATAATAAAAACAGTGATCGAACCACACGGAAAACGCAGATACATAGCAAGGATTTGGCAGAGTTCGTTGCAATTGATCAGTAATTTACTACTTTCAAGCAATATACCCACATAACTTCCAAGTTGTACATGTGCAGCAAAACCAGCAACCATGACAATCACTATTTACGATGCATTTGTTGTTACAGGTAACCCAGGAGTTAAGTTGTGGCAGTAGTCTTCTCTCGAGTCCTGAGATATCCATATCAGCATTTCGTGCAGCATCCACATGTGTGTTTGAGAACCACACCATATTGACTGAAATATTTCACCGATATATATTATCAAAATTAAATGATGACATGTATAACATGAAAAGCAAAACAATCAATCGCAATACATATCAAATATGCGTATATTGTACTCCATGTGTTTCGACATAGATGAGCTAGTTTGAGGAGAAGCGGATTCAGAATTTTAAGAGGGTGGGTGCACGATGTTACATTTAACGGCTTTAGCTTTAGTCTCTTACAATGAACGCAATACACTTTTAAAATTATATTCTTTTTGAAATTTAAAGAATTTTCACATAAATATTTATACTTCGTGCCGAAAATATATAAGACGTTCAGAGTGGGATTTGAACTATCAATCACTTGTAGAGGTGCAACCAATAATAATTGCACAATAAGAGTCTTTGAGCATGAGTTCACGCACATATATTTAAGTAATTTTAAAGAAATATAACATTGTTATACATGGTTTAGGGAGAGGAGTATGGGTTCACGGGAACCCATATTCATCAACCTGGATACGCCTCTGAGTTTGACTCGGCACGGAGTTTAAGAGAAAAGCGGGAGATTTTTAAAACTTGTGGTCTTAAAAGTTTAAGAGGTAAAAGTTTTGTGGGACCACAACATTTTGTGGTGATACAAGCTTGTCATTAAGGGTAAAATAAAAAGTTTGAAGTTGAATTATTTTCAATTATAGAAATGTGGACTAATAAGGAAAGTGTATCATATAAATTGAAACTGAGGGAGTATATCATTTAGAAGAGGAGTTTTGGAGCAATGGTAAAGTTGTCTCTGTGTGACCTATAGGTCAGAGGTTCGAGCAGTGGAAGCAGCTACTAATGCTTACATTAGGGTATGCTGTCTACATCACACCACTTAGAGTGCGACCGATCCCCAAACCCTGGCTGCTTTTTTATATAGATCATATAGACAACGGGTCAACGACAACACAATATATATAATTTAGAGATAAAGATAAAGGGATACTAACATGTAGTTGCCACGAGAAGAATAGTGAGAACCAAACCAAGTTTAAGCATCGCCATATATAGTAAGACTTTAGTACTTCAGGCCTACTTGAAGTTTTTGTTTGTGTCTTTCATACCTTTCCAAAGGCTTGAATTTATAGGCCTCTCAGCCATGGGATATAATTGTTTTCTATTGTTTTTTTAATATTTATCAGCTTGTTTTATGTTAAAGTCTTGCCAGGCTATCATTCCAAACCCCAATAATGCAATAGTTAATTGTTTCATGTTTCGTTCTCTCTCCAACCTCCCAAAATTTAAAAATGTATTAAAATAGTTAGAATTACACAATAGGCATCTGGATCAAGAACTAATGTGCATTAATTAGTGCTTTCAATTGTCTCAATTAAAATAACTAGTTTCTGGTTACACGCGTCATTCGTGTATCTACTATTAGTGAGTATAGTTTTTTTTTTTAAATCACAAATATTATTTAAAAAGTATATTTGAGTTTAAAATAAAACTTAAATTAAGTACCTAAAGATGATGAATATTATGTATTATTTAGTTAACACAATATATATAATTATACTCCACAGAAATCCTTAGAATGAATGCCTTATTGAGTTATCCACATATTATATTTAATGTTTACCTTAAAAACAAAAGGCATGAATGTCACCTTCTTAGTTAGTTGACTTGCAAGTTTCTAGCCAAATGAAAACATCACCAAAATACGTAAAAATGTTATGCTAGTCTAGTAAGAAATTATCCCCTTACTAAGATAATAAAAAAAATGTGAAAATCAATAATATGTTCAAATGTCTTGGTAAGAGTTTACCATTTGGATCTCACGCTAAAAATATCTATTTCAATTGATTAGTTAAAAAAGTAAAAGTAAACAATTAAACTGCAGAGTCCTCCTAAAGAAAGAAAAGATTGCATACTCTAATTAATCTACAAAATATATCCAAGATTAAGAGTCAAAGGGAAGAATGTTCAAACGAAGAATGGATAATGGGCTTTAATAAATGAAAAAACTTTAGTAATTTGTAAAAGTTTATTTTGAAAAGCATAACAATTAGGGTCAGTTTGGAAAACCACCCGGTAATTGAAATTCCTAGGGTAATAAGTACACAATATAGTAATTACGACGGCCTGTTTGTTTATCATAACGTAATTGCAGTGTATTACAAGCGTACTATTTGGTTGCACAAGCGTAATTACACAGTTAAGTTAAATTTTAAATGAATAATTATCAAAATTTAAAAGTTAATATAATAAATATATGCTAAATAATTTTCTATAAGTATAAATGTTATAAGATTTGGTATTTAAGATGCATATTTTTTCTTTAATATACATTAATTAGTAATCATATATTTTTAATTAATATTATAAAATAATTGATATATATTTTTCAAATTAATAATGTTTAGTATAATTAATTATTAAAACTAAAAACATACGTGATGTAATAACACCATGGAATACATGTTTGATAAAATAATTAATATTTATAAATACAATGTCATAACATTATTCAAATATTTGAAAACTAGTCTATCAATTCTAACTAAAAAATTAACAACATTGAAATAATAAGTAAATACTACCAAAACAGGTAAATTAGAACCATATATATAACACAATTTGAAAATCCAAAAAAAAAAAAGAAATTCCAATACAACTTAATATTAGGAAACATAATAAGTTTGTAGCCTCATTCAATAACAAAATACTACTTTAATGATATCACCCATTAGATGCCAAGTTTGTTAATGACTCATTATTTCTAATATTAGGAGGTGTAATTTCAAAAACTAGAATAATAATGCAGTTACGCTAAATGAAGAAAATAAACAAATAAGAAATAAAATATACGAGCAATTACATGGATTCACAAGAAGTAAAGGTAGAGAAATAAAAGATAAATAATGTACAAAGAAAAATATATTTTAAAATTAAAAAATAAATCAAAGTGAAATTATAATTAAAAATTTAAAAATAAAATAAAATAATGGAAATAAAAAGTTATAAAGAAAATAAATTAAAATAAAAATTAAAAATTAGAAAGTAACCTTGTAATTACACAATGTAGTTACCACCAATGCTCACTTCCCCCTTGAGAATTGGAGAATATAATTACACCTCTCCAATTACACTCAATTACATGCTAACTGTAACGATCCGACCGGTCGTTTTGAGCTCTAGCGCGTCGTTCGGCGGTTTGAGGCCATGAGTAGCTTCACTTCAGGTATTATGACTTGTATGTATGGTCGGAATCGAAATTCGGGAAGTTCGGATTGGATTTGGAAAGACAATTTTCATTTCAAAAGCTTTAAGTTGGAAGAATTGACTAAGATTGATTTTTTGAGTAAACGATCTCGGAATCGGGATTTGAAGGTTCCAGTAGGTTCGTATGATGATTTTGGACATGGGTGTATGCCCGGATTGGGTTTTGCATGACCCGGGAGCATTTCGGCGCCTATTGTGGAAGTTAGCATTTTTGGGTGAATTTCATAAATTTGGGATGAAGTACATTTCAGTGTTAACGATGTCCGTTTGGGACTCCGAGTCTGGAAATAGCTCCGTATGGTGATTCTGGTATTGGGAGCGCGATCGGAAGTGGATTTGGAGGTCCGTAGGCCATTTTGGAGTCATTTGGCTGAAGTTAGAAATTTGAAGGTTTTTGAGAAGTTTGACCGGAAGTGGACTTTTTGATATCGGGGTCGGATTCCGATTCCGGAAGTTGGAGTAGGTCTGTAATGTCGAATATGACTTGTGTGCAAAATTTGAGGTCAATCGGACGTGATTTGATAGGTTTTTGGCATCGAATGTAGAAGTTTGAAATTCTAAAGTTCATTAAGCTTGAATTAGAGTGTGACTCATGGTTTTAGCATTGTTTGATATGATTTGAGTCCTCGAGCAAGTCCGTGTTATGTTATGGGACTGGTTGGTGTGATTGGATGGGGTCCCGGGGGCCTAGGGTGTGTTTCGGAGCAATTTTGGTTAAATTGTTCTTGCTGGTTAGCTGGTCTCGAAGTTGTTCTTCACGAACGCAAAAGGCCTCACGCGTTCGCGAAGAAGGAAATTTGGACTGGGCTCTTTTTCTCTACGCGTCTGCGAGTGGGCAGACGCGTTCGCAAAGGGCGAGCTGGTAGAGCTTCGCGTTCGCGGACCCTGTCTTGCGTTCGCGTAGAGGAGTTGGGAAGCTGAGGCAGATTGTGCTTCGCGAACGCGAGGGGCTTGCCGCATCCGCGAAGAAGGAATTTTGGGTGTGAGGGTTTTGAGCTTCGACACGAGGGATATTCCGTGTTCGCGAAGAAGGGTCGGACTGGGCAGTGAAGTGTTTTAAAAGCGGGTTTTCGCTCATTTCATCTCAAATCTTTCATGGGAGCCGATTTTTGGAGTAACTTGGGAGTGCCATTTTCATCACCAAGCATGAGGTAAGTGGTTTATACTAGTTTTGAGTTAAATACATGAATATATATGGATTTGAACATGGAAATTAGTGGAAATTGTGGGGTTTTGGTAGGAAACCTAAAATTTATTTTTGGATTTTGACCATGAATTTGGGCATGAAATTGAGAGTAAATTATATATTTGAGTTCGTGAGGTTATGGATAAACTTTATCTTCGAAAAATTTCGGAATCCGGCCATGTGGGCCCGAAGACGATTTTGTCAACTTTTCGAGCGAAGTTGGGAATTTATATAAATTGAGTTGTTATAAGTATTAGGGTATATTTTCATTGGTTTGCCCATTATTTGGATAGTTTTGGAGCGTGGTGCATCGATTTGAGTCGTCGGAAGGGCTTGGGAAGCCGGTTATGAAATTTCGGAGCGAGGTGAGTCTCTTTTCTAACCTTGTAAGAGGGAATTAACCCCATAGGTGAAGTAATTAAATATGTGCTCCTATTTGTGGGAGCTACGTATGCACGAGGTGACGAGAGTCCGTGCTTAGGCACTATTATGCCTATGTCCGGGTAGTTTTTAGGCTACATCATGCCTTGTTGATATTGTTGTTGATTAATGCTTATTGCTTGCTTTGAGAAGAAATAAGATTGATGTTGCGTAATAATTGTGTTGAAAGGAATTTTAATTGAGGAGTTTAAGATTTTAAGCGTTTCCATTAAACCTAGTATTTTCGAAAAATTGAGGAACCTTATAATGACTTAAGAAATCTATGTGTAACCGCGTCGCATGTATGTATCGCGAGCGGGGTAATCTCCTTAAAAGCTACAAGCTGAATTTTCCTTATTTTGAAAAGGAATCAAGAAAGAAATATGATTTTAAATGTTAAAATTATATTTGACCGCGTCGCACGTATGATTCGCGAGCGGGGTATTTCCTTCTACTATTCTCGTGGGAGCGGGCCGATCGCCTCGGCAGGTTAATAGATGCATCTATAATTCGTGCCATTCGACCCTCTGGCAGTGTACAGTTTACTTTTATGTTAGATCGGGCCATACGCCACAACATTTCCTCTCTCTCTCTCTCTCTCTCTCTCTCTCTCTCTCTATATATATATATATATATATATTATATATATATATATGTGTGTGTGTGTGTGTGTGTGTGTGTNNTGTCAAGGTAAGTGATTCCCACATATTGCAAGTTAAATACTTGGATTTTATATATATATATATATATATATATATATATATATATATATATATATATATATATATATATATATATATATATTTTAACATGAAAATTCATGGAAAATTAGTGAAAATTTGGGATTTTGGTAGAAAACCTAGAAATTGGTATTTTTTGAATTTTGACCACGAATTTGGGCATGAAATTGAGAGTAAATTATATATTTGAGTTCGTGAGGTAATGGGTAAAGTTTATCTTCAAAAGTTTTCGGAACCCGGGCACCTGGGCCCGAGGGCGATTTTGTCAACTTTTCGAGCGAAGTTGGGAATTTATATAAATTGAGTTGTTATAAGTATTAGGGTATATTTTCATTGGTTTGCCCATTATTTGGCTAGTTTTGGTGCGTGGTGCATCGATTTGAGTCGTCGAAAGGGCTTGAAAAACCGGTTATGGAACTTTAGAGCGAGGTGAGTCTCCTTTCTAACCTTGTAAGAGGGAATTATCCCCATAGGTGAATTAATTG